GCGGGGAGAAGGGTGCAACAATGAATGAATGGAATTCCAAAATCTCTGTAGATGTTCATTGAAATGAAAAATAAACAACCTAAATTTTTTAAAAAGATTGCTATTTATTTTTTACTTCCTACTGTATCTTCCCCAGTACCTTCTATTTAAGGAGATGTGATCCTGGCGTTGCATTTACAGTAGTGATAATGAAGTATTAGTAATAGAGAACAGAAGGGCAGATAGAAAACATTGCAAAGAAATTTGGGAAGTAGTCTTTGAGTCTTGCTTTATGATCCTGAGCCCCAGGTCAAGAGAAGTGGCAAGCCCACTATGAATTTTTTTTTTAAAAAACTGTGTATGTTTTTATTGAAAAACCAGAACATTAAAATACGTTTTATATTTTCCAGCCTCTCTTTTTTTTTAAAAAAAGGGAACTGACAAAACTGTAAGTCCTTGTGTTGGCATTCAGCCAGAACTGAGGCAGGGATGCCCCTTCAAAGGGTATATGGTTTCCTCCCCACTATAAACCAAATACATTAAACATTATACATTAAAGCCAGTCTCCCTCTCCCACACATGGCACCGAGGGGAAAACCCAAACCAATTCTATCCAGGGATGACTCAAATAACTCATTGTAGTCAAGTTGGAATCAACTCATAGATGACCCTCCAGAGGGTTTTTCAGAGGCTAATTTTCACATAGGAGAAGACTGCCCATCTTTTTTCCGTGGAGCAGCTGGTGGATTTGAACTACTTGTCTTTGTAGTGATAGCATAACTCTTTATCCCCTAGGCTACTAGAGCTCCTGGGATGACTAAGAGGCTTTTAAAAGCAGGGAGTGGATTTGAAACACTGCTTGTGAGCCAAGGTTAGGATTAAGGCAGTTATTCACAGGATTGTTATAAGTAGTAGCTGACTTGATGACACACCTCACAACACCACCACCACCTGGAAATAGGCCTTGACTTCACTATGTACAATGCCTTCTCTGAGCCCCAATTTGTACGTCTCTAAATGAAGTAATAATAGGACCTACCTCAAGGCTGTATGAGGCTTAAAGTGCTTAACCTAGCGCTGGACACATAGAAAGTCCTTGATAAATTGAAGCTGCATCCCTAACAGGGATGATAATAATTACTATTATCATTGCCACTACATTATTGCCGTCATCATTAGAGTCAGGGATGGAATAACAGAGAGGCAGAGGCTGAGGAAGACATACAGGGATTGTATTTTTACATGGGTAGAAGTGCTGGGATGTTCCAGGTAAGGGGGTGGGGGCGGAGAATGAGGGAGGAAGAGACTGACTGAGAGAAGTTGAGAAAGGTACATGGAAACCGGCCCCTCCTAAGTAGGCGATGAATCCCAGTGATACAAGCCAGTGCCAAGTGGGAGGATCCCGGACTCCTGGGAATAGAGAAGTGACCAGGCTTGCAGAGGTGGGATGAGCCTGGAGAGGGTGCTTGAGTTCTAGATTCCCAAGGGGTCATGGCTCTCACCTTTCCATTGACCCTCGTCCCTCACCAGTGCTGTGCAGACCCCTGCTCAAGGCTGAGTGGTGGGGGAGCTGATGCAGACCCGCCCATCATGGGAGGCCGTGAGCTCACAGGCACGTGCTCTCTCCAAGGCTGGGTAAACACGCCCGAGGCCGCTCCCTCCCTTGATTCTCCCTCCTACTCGCTCGGGGGCGGGGGCGGGCGGTAAGCCCGCCTGCCCGGCTACCCTGCTCACACCCAGCTTCCCCAGCCAAGAGTAGCCTGCACCCTAAGCTGAGAAACGTTGGGGATGGCTCTCAGGGTCATCCTCATGGCTTTTAGTTCCCCCACAGGGGCTGGAAAGGTGCAGAAGAGTGTGAGAACAGCCACCTTTATGTGGCAGTGTGAGATGAGACAGAGGCAGACTGTAATGCAGAGTGAGAAGTGAGACACCAAGAAAGGGCCCCTGGTGTCCCTCCAAGCCTAGTTTAGGGCTCAGGTGGATGCCTTTCTGCTGGGCTTCCCTCTCCTTGCTCTCTGGGAGTTCCCTTCTGTGGCTTCTCCCTTGGGAATTTCTTTTCCCGACACCCACCTCCATGAAACACGAAACAGCCTCTCTCCTCAGATGCCCCTACCCCCACCCAGCGCCCCAAATTCCTGGGGTTGGGAAATAAGAACACTTTTGCACCCGCCTCATCCCATTTCTCCCTCCCTTGTTGATATGCACGGTCTCCCTCTCTGTTTCAACACCAAACTCCCAATTACAGCTCATTACCCTATCCTGGCTTGGCCCTGAGTCATGGGGGGAGGGACCCTGAGCCACCTAGCCCTGTCACCCTCTCCTCCCAGGCTACACTATAAGGAGTAGAGGCAGGGAGGAGAACTCTGGGAGGTCAGAGGAGTGTAGGTTAGGAGACAGAGGTCTGCAGAGCCAGAGTGAGGGAGAAACAAAGAGGGAAGAAAAGGACAGAGCAGGGTGGGTAGACCAGGGGAGGAAAAAGACAGAGAATTAAACTTGGGTGGGAAGAAGAGGAAGACAGGAGAGAGAGAGAGAGAGAGAGAGAGAGAGAGAGAGGAGAAATGAAGCCGCAGCCGCAGAGGTCACAGAGGTCGTTAGCCTACCTCCTGCTGGCCCTGTTTCTGGCCAGAGGGGAGGCTGGCCCACTGCTGAGTGGTGGTGGGAGCACTGGAGCCAACATTGGTGAAGCCATTGGACAAGGGGTGGGGGACGCCATTGGCCAAGGAGTCGGAGAAGCAGCTGGCTCTGGGGTTAGGGAGTCAGCAGGCCCTGGGCTGGGAGGAGCTGCAGGCCACAGAGTTGGGGAGGCCATCCACCATGGGCTGGGGGAAGCAGCCCATGTGCTTGGAAACTCTGGGGGTGAGGCCAGCAGACAGGCTGAAAACATCATCCGACATGGACTGGACATGGCCCATGGCTACGGGCAAGGGGCTCCTGGCAGCAGCAGCGGTGCCTGGGTGAGTGGTGTGGACTGCAGGGTTGTGGATGCGGGGGAACCTTTGAAAGGATGAATGGGTTTCTCATTTATGGTTGCCTGGAGGACACTCTCATCATGTGTTTTGCTCCTTCTCCCTCTTCTTTGGGGTCTCTCTTCCCTTGTTTCCTTCCTATCTGCCATACCTGCCTTTCTTCCTACCACTCAGTCATACGTTACCACCTCTGAATGTGTGGTGTCTTTACAGGGAACCAATGCTCAGCCTGCATATGGAGGCCACGGCGTCTCTGGTGCCCAAAGCGGCTTCGGTGGCCATAGTCAAGGAACTCCCTGGGGCCAGGCACGCCCCATTGACTCAGAAGGCAGTTTTGGAACCAGCTCTCAGGGTGGTTCCTGGGGTCATGAAAACAACGGAGGGTCATTCAACTTCGGGAGCAATGCTCAGGTAAGGTCAAAACCTAGCCCTGCCACCAGCCATCTTCCTCCTGCAAGGCCCTCATCTCCACTCCTCTGCCTTCCTGACCTCACACTCGCTCTCTCCTTCCTGCAGGGGGCTGTGGCCCAGCCGGGCTACGAATCAGTGAGAGGCAGCAGTGGAGACAACCAGAATAACGGGGTAAAAGGGAAAGTCTGGGGGTGGAAAGTAGGGGAGAAAGACAAAGTGAAGGGAGAAATGGGGAAGGGCGGGGCTGGGGAATGCCTAGATGTGGGGAGGTGGATAGGAAAGAGGGAGAAAGATGATAAGGAGATGAGGAGAAACAGCCTCTTGAAAGAAAGTCCAAGAAGGCAAGACCTGGCTTGTGGAGAAGACTCTGACTGGCTAGCTCAAAACTCACTTGTCCTCTTTCTTCTGCAGTGTACTAACCCTAAGCCCACAGGCTCAGATGAAAGTTCCAGCAGCTCTGGGGTAAGATAGAGGGGTAACTTGAAATGTATTGTACAGGGAAGGGATAGAGTGACTTGGCTGGCATTAGAGTGGGCAGCGGAAGGGAGGTGGAGGAAGTCATGTTTATGTTCTCACTTTGTTCTCCATCTCTGCTTGCCCCTCAGGACAATTCTAACTCACACGGGAGTAGCAGCAGCAACAGCAGTGGGGGCAACAGTGGCAGAGGCAGCTCAGGGCCCAACTGGGTGAGTTCTGTTGCTTCCTTGGGGGCATGATGGGAGTGAGGACCCTGGTGGGCCCTGCTGTGGAGAAGCCCTGGGGGGAGTGGCGTCACTGCGTGCTGAGGAAGCCTCAGCGCCTGTCCCCAGGCTCTCAGCCTGAACAGAGCACCGCTCCTTAAGTGCTCTATACTTTATCCAGCAGAGGTGCTTTCAGCTTACACTGTTCCCTTATCTGCTAGTTCCTGATGGTGTGTGTGTGCCACCTCCTGGTTAAGGTCTATTCCTACAGCTCACGCCTACCTGACAGGTCTGACTAGGCAGGTGTTAGAAGAGGGATGGGCACAGAAAACTATGACTCTTGCTTCCTCCCCTTGCTGAGCTCCTGAATGGGAGCAGGGAGGCACACATGCGAGGACATTTGCAGGCTGTGGTGTAGACGGCGCTGATAAATACAGTGCCCACATGAGCCCTCTGGCACAGTGGGAAAGAGAGGGGATCAGGAAGAGGGTCATAGCCTGGCTGCTCCAAGAGTGGGGTGGGGAGTGGAATAGTGGTGTCTGGAGAGAGACAGAGAAGAGGGAGAGAGGAGAGAGGAGAGAGGAGAGAGGGAGAGAGGGAGGAAGGGTGGGCGGGAAAGAGGAAGAGAGAGGAGAGAGGAGAAAGGAAGGAGAGGGAGAGGAGGAGAGGAGAGGAGAGGAGAGGAAAGGAGAGGAAAGGAGAAAGAGACACCTGGTCATCTTGGAAATCTGGGGAAGCGAGGCAACTGTTACAAGCCAAATACCATAAACTGCTGTCATTCCCTGCTCTTTCCACTACTCTTCTTCCACTTTCTAGGACCGACCATTAGACAATGGAAGAAACTTTGATCAAGGCAGCTACTCAGACTCCCAGGTAAGAACTCTGAGTTCCAGGAGATAGATGGGGAGGGTGGGCAGGGGATGCCCACTGACAATCATCATGACTCCTAAGCAGCTTGGCTCCAGAGTCTGGTCTCTGGTGTGTCGTGAGGGCATGGGGCTGAGGGTAGAGGATGGGGCAACAGCTCAGAATCCCCAAATCATGCATATTCTCAAATACTCGCTACCACACCTGGCCGCTTCTGTGCTGGCCTCTCCGTGACTGACTGACTAAAGATAAGGAGGGAGAATATGGAGGCTGGGAGAGTGGGCTGGAGTCGGACTAGAGATTTTAAAAAAATTCACAGTACGGTTGGGGACCAACTTCAGCCCTTTCCAAGTCGTTTTAAGACAGCACAGGAACTGGTGCTTTCTTTGGTAGGGATCCAGCAGCGGCTCCTCCTCAAGTAGCAGCAGTGGAAGCAGTGGTGGAAAGAAACCCGAGGTGAGTGGGTGATGGACCGACATGCACAAAGCCCTCAAAGAATGGGGAAGAAAAAGACTGTAGACCCCCACACTTGGGCCACGAGAGACCTATGGCTGTGACTGAGAATAATTGGGGTGTGGAGGTAGACAATTTTGGGGTAACATGGGGTAAAAATACTACAGTGTGGGGGCTGGGATTGTGTTTGGGAGGAGCCTAGGAGCAAATCCTTCTTTTCTCTTCCTCTGGTAGTGTGACAACCCAGAGAATGAAATCCGGATGTCTGGGGGATCTGGAGGTCAGGTGAGAGTCAAGCCTGGGCTCACCGCCATGCATCACTACTGCTGTGCCCATCCCTTATAACAGAACTCCCTGAGTGGCCCCCATTTTTTAATTTAACCTCATCCTCAGCCTTGTCTATGAGAAACTTAAGAAATTCAGGGTGAAGACAGTACTAAAAATACTAAGCAGCTCAAGAATGATAATGAATCTTTATGCAGTCTTACTTTACGCTATAGAGTTAAGAGAAATCAGTCCTTGTAGAAATGTAATTGTCTCAAATATTCTATACCTGAGCAGTGAATAGAATTCCATGATGAATCCTCTGACAGACAGAAATACTTGGGAAAAATGTATATTTCTTTTCCAGTTATTCTTGAAATGTTGGCTTTATATCAGCACCCAGAGCACTGACAGAGTGTTAGAATAATGGGAATGTGAATCGCCAAAAGGTCTTGTGGAAATGCAGGTTTTGATTCAGCAAACATGGCATTAGGCCAAGATTCTGTTTCTAACAAACTTCCAGGCAAAGCGGACTCTGTCTACTACTTCAGTAGCTGTTGTTGCAAGGCAAGATGAGAATAAGACAGCAGTGGAGGGGTGGGCTAAACAGAGATGTTTCCTTATGTTACACTTGGAAAAGAAGCGGCTTAACCAGAGAGAGGAAGGGTCAGCAATAGATTGTATATAGAGAAGTAAATTCCAGATGTATTGAGAAGTTAAATGAGGGGGAAATGACATTATAGAAGAACAAATTGTGTTAGAAAAACACTATTGTTATGTTGTTATGTACCATGGAGTCAAAGCCAACTCATAGCTGACCCTCCAGTGGGTTTTCAGAGGCTGTAAATGGCACAGATCTTTCTCCCGTGAAGGGCCTGGTGGATTCACATCCCATGCCTTTGGACTGGCAGCACAGCTGTATACTGTCCACTTTAGATTAGAGAGGTATACGCCCTTATGAGGGGAAAATCAGATAAAAACAGAAGGAAAGAAATTGATACAGGTTAGCTAATTTCCCCCAAACCCTTAACTAATATTCCCAGACCCACGTGTCGAATCATTTCCACCACTGATTTAAAATGTCACTTGTAAATATCTAAATGTTTTGGTAGTACTTCTGTGAATTCTATTTTGTTAAATTGCTTGTACTACTGAATTTGGACTCATAACTGACCCTCCAGTGAGTTTTCAGAGGCTATAAATCATGTTGTTGTTGTTGTTATGTGCCGTCAAGTCGCTTGCGACTCATAGTGACCCTATGTACAACAGCCCTAGACTCGACTCTGTCCTGTCCCCTCCTGCGCTGTCCCTCTAACCTCCCAAGCATGGTGTCCTTCTCCAAGGACCGGTCTCTCCTTACAACATGTCCAAAGTCTGTTAGACGGAGCCTCGGAATCCTTGCCTCCAAGGAGCCGCCCAGTTTAACCCTTTCCAGGATGAATCTGTTTTCCTAGCAGTCCATGGAACTCTCAATACTCTTCTCCAGCACCACAGGTCAAAGGCATCAATTCTCCTTCTATCATCCTTGGTCATTGTCCAACTCTCTGATGCATAACAAGTGATTGCGAAGACCATAGCCTGTATCAGACGCACCTTAGTCTCCAGAGAGACACCATTGCTCTTCAGTACTTTGGAGAGGTCCCTAACAGCAGACTTTCCCATGGCAATGCGCCTTTTAATTTCCTGGCTGCTGGTGCCAAGAGTGTTGACTAAGGGAAGAGAAATTGCCCATCTTTATCCTGAGGAGTAGCTGGTGGATTAGAACTGCGTGCCTTTGGGTTGGCGGCACAAGACTTTGCCCACTAGGCCACTGGGTTCCTCTTGTTCTAAGAGAGATGCTACCTCATTTTGCTAATGGTAGTTTATCAACTTCTGCCAGTAGAGGTCCTCTTGAGCTGTTTATCTTTTCTAGTCTTCTCTTATTCTTAGATATTTGTCCTTTCAAATCAATTTAAAGGTTGTGTTGACAGATTACAAAGTTAGAATTTTGAGAGGGATTGTATTAACTTGATACACTAATTTATGGGATGGCTCTAGGGTCCAATATGACACTGTGTTTGTCCTTCAGGGATTCCGAGGGCAGGGAGGCCCCAGCAGTTCCGGCATCAGGGTAAGGATGTGGCGGGCTTCAAGAGTAGATTTTTGATGGGGGTTAACTCACCAGTAGTAATATTAAGAGAGGAAGACCAGGGAACGGATAAGCTTGGCCTGGTCTACAGGTTACCAACAGGAACGAAGAGATACCAGTGGCTCTGAGACCCATCATGTTCCACACCCTTAAGTTATGGAGAAACTAACCAGACTACCTCAACTCCCTGATTGGCATCACCTTCCTGACAATGCAAAACGTCAAGCCTTTAAGTTTGCGTTAACTTAGTAAAAAAGAAAAGAAAAAAGAAAAAGAATTTAAATGCTTTTGTAGCAAAGTGTCTTCTGGAGTTTGGACAGCTTGCAGAAATGAATATAAACCAAGATCCATAAACATCATTAGTGTGTAGTAATCCAGACTACAGAATAGAAAGCTGCTTTCTCAGGGCCCTGAGAAGTCCTCTGTCATGTTTGTACCATGTTTGTCCCTTGATTCAGGAAATCTTTTCCCTAAACCCTGCTATCCCACACCCCTCACCCCTACCCTGCCTCTCCTCACTCACTCTTGTCCGTTTCCTGTCTCCATAGGAAGTCAGCCGAGAGGGTGGTTACCACTATGGGAGCTCTCAAGGCAATTACCAGGTGAGTTTAAGAGCAGACAGAATTGGCTTTAGGAGAAGAGATGGTGAAGTATGATGACATAATGCCAGGAGCCTGGTGGAAGAAATACTAGTCTTTTCTTGCAAGCCGTTCTGAATCTGTGCCATCCTCATTATGAAACAAGAACAGAGGTTTCCCATCCAAACTTCTCAGTGAATTCATTTCCATCACCTCTGTAAAGGGGAATGCAAACAAAAGTAAAAGAAGTATGGATAGGAAGCATTTTTTTTAAAGTCATACTTCAGAAGGAAGTGTTGAAAAATAGAAAGCCTCGAACCTTTGAGTTTGAAGATGGTGTTCAGCCTGTGTGTGCTCACACACAGTCCGTGGGTCTGCAGGCAACCTCTCTGAGCCTGGGCTTCCACTTGGGCAATAAGGAGTCAGTGGCTTGTAACCTGCTCACCTCCACACTTACTACAACTTTCTGCATATCACGAAAGACCAAGGTGATACAAAGACTAGACTTTAGAATCAGATATGCAGACAGATCCTGCAGCCAGCTGCTGGGCTATTGCTGCGCTGTAATCCTGAAGGCACATAAATACATCAGCAGTTCTGACGAAGAAGGAAGGACAGTCTCCTCCCAGGTGGTTAACTGCCCCTGAAAATCCACTGGAGGGTCAGCTACAGGTTGGTTCCCACTTGACAGTACACTATAACAGTATCTGTAAAATAGAGATATTTCCTAGAGAAGAATGTCACAGGGTAAGGTGCACGGACGGACTAAATACACTGTTGTGTACTGTTGACTGGAAACCAACTCGTATCTTTGTGTTGGCAACACAATTCCTAACATAACTCTAAGAAGACTTTCTGGAGGTAGATTTTTAGGTGTTATTTAAAGAAAGGGAGCTCTGGTGGTTTGTTTTGGTTGTTGTTGTTAGGTGCTGTCGAGTCGAGTACAACTGAGAGCGACCCTATGAAGAACAGATCTGAACCTTGTCCTGGCCTGTGTCATCCTCACGGTCTCTGACATACGTAAGCCCGTTGCTTCAGTCACTGTGTCAGTCCGTCTGGTTGAGAGTCTTCTTTAGCGGTAAGGAATTATGCTGCCAATCCAAAGGTACACATTTCGAATCCATCCTGTGTAATCTCCTACCTCTTAAAACCTACTGAAGGGTCAGTTCTAACTTGATGGCACATAACAACAACAATTGAAAGACAGACATCATGCTCAGAAAGTAGAGGGTCAGTGAAAGAGAAGCTGATCCTCACTGAGATAGAGTGACACAGTGACTATCAGAAACAGGTTAGAGTATGACAGAGATAAGGATGGTGCAGGATTAGGCCAAGTTCAAATCTATTGTTCGTAGAGTTATTATGAGTTGTAGTCAGCCCGATGGCACCCACCACCAACATTTAAAGGAAAAGAGAAGATGGCTTTGCAGAGAATACACAGAGAAGATGAGTGAAGGTTGCAAGTAGATGCAAGTAGGTAGGTGGCCTGAACCCAAGGATGCGTAAACCTTGGACATCAGATCCCATCTCGTCTGTTTAGGGCCAAGGATTCAGTAGAGAGAGTGGAGGAGGTGAAGCCATCAGTGGCATCAATACTTTGGTGAGTGGAAGCAACATTCCACCTTTGGCTGAAACTGTGGTGTCAGACAATCCTTGCCTTCCTTTCTGGCACCCGGATTTTCTGTCCCCTGCTTCATTCTCACCAAGTGGATTCTTAATCCCATCTCATTTGTCATCTGATTCCCTAGAACTCTCAGACACCATCAGGGCTCTTCGACTTTGACACCTTATGGAAGGTGAGTTCGGAAAGATTATTCTCCTTACTCTCTTTTGGAAAACCAACTCTGCCCCTTGTGCACTGCCGCTCGGAGCTGCCCCTACCGCCCCTCAAGCTGAAGTTATTTTTCTGTAGCAATAATCAAAAGTGGCCTTTGACCTCTCTTATAGTCCAATCCAGCCACCCTCCTTTTTCTTTCTTCCTGTGCAGAATTTTAAATCCAAACTAGACTTCATTAATTGGGATGCCATAGATAAGGTAAGTGCTGGGAAGACATGCCAACTCAATTTTTGTGGGAGGAAGGTATGGAGAAAAGCCTTGAGCCCTTGGGTGTTTAACTGAAGAAACAGCAATTATTTAGGCGAGTGTGCACATAACCAGGGGAAGGTCAAAGAAAGGCCTGGGAAAAGGGGGAGAATTTGAGATAGTTGGGAATAAGAGAAGAGGATGAACGCCTTTAATATATCAACATATGGAACTGAGCAAAATTTCTGAACTTTAGTTCTCCCTTTGGGATCTGGAAGGCTAAGGGGTGAACAAATAGGCATAAGCTTCAGGAAATCAGAGAGGCAGGTCATTGTCGTAACGTGCCACTAAGTTGACTGTGACTCATAGCAACCCTATGAACAAAGGTTCTGCCTTGCCCTGTGTTGGGCCATCCTCAATCTTTCCAACACACTCAATCCTGTTATCATAGTCACTGTGTCAATTTATCTTGTTGTGGGCCATCTTCTCTTACGCTGACCCTCTTACGCTGACCCTCCACCTTTCCAAGCATGTTTTCTTCCTAACAACACGCCCAAAGTGTGTGAGATGGAGTTTCACATTCTTGCCTCCAAGGTTTCACTTTCTCTCGGACAGACTTGTGTGTTCTCTTGGTAGAAGGAGTAGGCGATACATTGAATAAGGATTCAGGTGGGGTTCAAAGCTCACATGAAGCCTGCTGTTCACACCAAGAGGGAGAATGCTTGATGGGTGATAGACCCTGTATATATGCACTCTTAGCAATCACATGGGGTCCAGAACCCTGTATTTCCTTCCTCCCTCCCCTCCCCATCCTTCTTGCAGGGGAATCATTGGTCAGGTTCCCCTATGACGACAGAATAGCAAGTGCACGTCTAGGGTATCAGTGAAGGAAGGGCAGATGAACCATCCAAACAAATTTCAGAGGCTGCAGCTGGAAGCCTGCAGATGCTACACAGGTCTGCCTCGTTTTGTTTTGCTTTAAGAATATGGACTAGTTGCCAACACTTAAATATTGAGAGATGTTGCATAATGACTTGTTGTTTTGAATTATCTCAAAACATGCAGCCACACTGGGCTCCCTTTCCATAAGGTTGTGATGGGTCCAGGCCAATTATAGAAGATGCTTCTTACAGAGAAATGCTTGCTTGCTTATAGCTGAACTCCCCCTGCCTATCACAGCCATTCCGTGATCGTCATTCATCTGACTAGTCCATGTGAGCAGCTGAATTTCTAACCTTTTACAATAAAAGAGTGAAGACTAGGATTCCTGATCTCACAAAATTTGTGGCCTTTATAGGGCATGAGAGGTGAGGGAGAGTGGGGAGGTGAAGTGTCAGACTCTTAGCGGTTGGATTCTGGGCTTGACAAGACATGGTAGAGAACATTCAGTTTCTAATGAGGAGGCTGTCCTTATTTCAGATCACACTGCAACCAGATCTGTGCTTGAGGGTAGAGCCGTGTGCAGACACCTTCCAGAAGTCCAGGACAAATAGTTAAAAGCCGGGTGGAGGGTGGGTGCTGTTTTGGTCTATCTTGAGATGCAGGAAAGGAAGTGATCCTAGTTACCTGTGTGGGAAGGACTGAATTTTCTGCCTGGAATGCTAGGATAGGGATGGGCAGAGAAGAGAATGGAGAGTCCCATTGTCCTTCTCAAGGTGTAGGTGGGGCTGAGAGAGCAGAGGACTACAGCTGTAGCAAGGAACCAGGAGAGGGGAGCTGTAAATATTGTTCCTGGTGTGGTAGGGCAGATATCGGTGAGGTTAACTATCCGAATTTGATTGGATGACAATAATGGGCAAAAAAGTCCCTGCAGATTTCTGGAGCAAAAGTCAATTCTACTCTTGCCTCAGCCCGCAACTTTCCTGAATTCTTATTTGTAAAGCTTCCTCGTAGAACTTATCTTTTTGCCCAGGACCGGAGGAGCTCTCACATCCCATGACCTCCAAAGAGCTGCCAGATGGATGGGAGCCCTGGTCCCATCACCCTTCTAAAAGATCATTAGTTCACCCCTAATCTCAACCTTTGCCCTTGAAATAAACCTTAGCTGCCCCCCACTCTCAGTCTCTTCTCCTTTGTTACGTCTCCACAGTTGTCAAGTGTTGTTGAGTTTGAGGCTGGATGGACTGGTGAATTCATGTTGAGGTTTCTCCACCTTTTCAGACCCATATGACCACTTCATTTTTAAAGAAAAGTACATTTCAGATTCCTAGTTGTTAGTAAATAATTATACTAAAATAAATAAATTCAGCCCAGGTAAAAACCAAACCAAACCAAACCATAAGACAGAACATCTGAAGGCCTGTGGAAAAGGTGACTTTAGCCCCACAGTGTTGGGGAGAGGACTGGAAATGGCACGGCAGGTGGGAAAAGGGGGAGAAATTCTGGTCCTAGGTTTTGCTAAAATTATGATTTGGGCAGAGTCTGGAGGAATCCTAGAGAAAGACACTGCATGTGTTAGCGCTGGGGCTGATGGCTCTAGACATCTCAAAAGGAGGTCCTGATGTCCCCAAAACAGTGTTCCCCAAACCTTAGTCCAAATGAAATTTTGAGTGTGGGAAATGGATTTGGGAAGTAGGGAGCAGGAAATCAGGCCCCTCTGCTAATCTGCTCCCACCTTTCATTCACAGAACCAAATCTCACACCCCAGCGCGAGAGCCCTCCTATACTTCAGCAGGCTCTGGGAGGTATGAGTCTCTTTTTTTTTTTTAAAATAAAATTATTTTATACTTGTTTACATACAAAGTTCATATGTACTGTTTTTCAACCAGACTTTCCTCCTTTCCTTTACCAATACTTCCCTCCACACATCAAATGGTGCGACCCTATGACTAAGCTCTGCTCCCTGTCCTCATACATGCTCTATAATAATGGTCTTATACAGTATTTATGAGACTGAGTTCACTTAGCATAATGCTCTTCAGTCACGGTATGAGGCTCTTTGAAGAACTTGGAGTTCTGCTCACTTGTCCCTCTCCACACCTCCCTCAAGGTGGCCACCCTCAGCTCCAGACTACCTGTTGCCAAATTCACTCCTCTTTCCATTTTTGAGATTGTTAACCCCACCTGAATCATATCACCAGTACCATCTTACACTGTAACACCTTCAGTCTCTTGTATGCTTATCTTCATCTGGCTCAAACCCACACCTACGACCCAAGCTGCATTCCTTCAATGACCTTGAAACCTGCCCAACATCCTGTCCCTTACCGCCCTCTGAATCCCATCTCCTGTTGTCACTGTGCTGTGGGAGAAAGTGGACGGTCTCCTCCCATTACAGCCTTGAAACCCCCATGCAGGGTCACTGTCAGTGGAAATGGACTTGATGGTGGTGGGTTTGGCTGTTTTTTGGGTTTGTTTTGGTGGGCCAATTATCTCTCTTCTTCCCTCCAGGATTTCAAGCACAATACTCCCTTTCTTAACTGGAAAGCAATTACTGAGGTAAGAGGAGAGGAAGGACAGCTTACCTAACCACTTGCCTTAGACTTCACTGGGCACAAAGGATTTTAGGCCCTTGACAAGCAGCTTCTTGATTTTTTCCCAGTTCCTTACCCTCCTTGCAAGTGCCTCTTCCCCTTGCCAATTTCTTCCTTTTTTACGGCTGTGGCTGTAGGGTGGGTGGGGAGAGGGAGGACATGGTTGAGTCAAGGAAGAAGGAGTAGAGTGGGAGGTCTTCCCTAGGATAAAGGCAAAGGGTCCAAGGATTGTGACTCTGCAGGACAGACACGTAATCCAGCCACTAGCTATGCAGTGCTGCTCTTTCTTCTGGGCTTGGCCTGTCCAGGGGTCAGGGGCACCAATGGGCTAATAATGCCGGGGAGCAGGGGGAGGGGGCTACAAAGCAGGGAGGAGGGACTGGGAATTGAGGCCAACTTTCCCTTGCTAAAGAGAAACTAGAAGATAATCAGTATACAGTAGATGTCCATTAAGTCAGAATCAGGAGCAGGTAGGTGTGGGGGATCTGACTGGTTCTTGGGAGGGATGCATAGAACACAGAAGACCACATCTTGATTCCACATGGCAATGGTCTTTGGGAATTAGGGCCTTTGAGTACCAGGCAAGAGTTACTCACTCCCATATTCACATGGGGCAGACACATGAGGCTGGACAGGTGGAGTCATGCTAAATGGGAGGCCAGGGCTTTCCAGCAGAGTGCATATATGTCAGACCATTGTAGCTATGCCATCTGGTTTACCAACATGAGATAGAAATCTGATTTTTAATTGTTGTTGTTGTGTGCCGTCGAGTTGCTTGCGACTCATAGCGACCCTATGTACAACATCCAGAAACTGTGCTCTGTCCTGTGCCAATCGCACCGTCTCCGACACACCTATCCCGATTACCCCAATCACTGAGTCAATCCACCTCATAGGGGGCCTTCCCCTTCTGTGCTGTCCCTCCACCCTCCCAAGCTTCATGTCCCTCTCCAAGGACCTGTCCCTCCTTGCAACATGTCCAAAGTATGTTAGATGAAGCCTCAGAATCCTTGCCTCCAAGGAGCAGTCCGGTTTGACCCTTTCCAGGATGAATCTGTTTGTTTTCCTAGCAGTCCATGGTACACTCAATACTCTTCTCCAGCACCACAGCTCAAAGGCATCAATTCTCCTTCTATCCTCCCTAGTCATTGTCCAACTCTCTGATGCATAACAAGTGATAGCAAAGACCATGGCCTGTATCAGACACACCTTAGTCTCCAAAGGGACACCATTGCTCTTACTCAAGAGTAAATTCATTTCAAAAAATATAGGCAAACCAAGCACACGTCTAGAGGCCTGTGGACCGCCAGTTTGACCTCCACATTAGGGATACTAACACTGGGTGAGAGGTTCTCTGGTGGTGTGTGTAGTCCATAGGAGTTGTGCTGCTGAATCGAATCCACCAGTGGTTCCAGGGGAGAAAGATGGGCAATCTCTTCCTGTGCAATTTGCAGCAGTCTCTGAAAACCTGCTGGAGGGTCAGCTATGAGTCAGTTCAACTCAACAACAATGAGTTTTTGTCTTTTTGAGTGAAGTTAAGATTAAATGTTAGGTGTGGAGAAGGCAGAGAGTTGAAGTCAGAATTGGGAAGCACATCTCTCCTTTGCATGTCCATGCACGTGCGTGTGGTCCCAGTAGAGAAGGGATGACGACAGGGACTACTCTCACCTAGTGCTTAGAATTCCCTCCCTGACTGACCTGGTGGTTGTGGAGTGCGGAGGGGATGGAGGGAGAAGAAGAGGGCCAAGTGAAGCTGCGGAGAATTTGCATTAACGTTGTCTGTTTTCCTGTACTTTCTCCCTTTCTTGCCTTCCTTTGACCCAATGGTAATCTAGTAGATTTAGCTTCTGTAGCTCATCCTTTCAAAGACTGTGGCAAGAATAGCGTACGTGTCCAAAGGCTAGAGCCCCATAAAGTTTGATGGAGACAAAAAGCAGGCTGCTGCTGGGGTGTCTAGCTCTGCCTTAGAGCAGCCCCTGGGGTTACCACCTGTTTGTCATTCTCTGTTCAGTCCAGGTCCTTCAATGCTGTAGGTGTATGGGTGGGAGTGGTGGTGTTAAATTTGGTACTCTACCCCAACTTCCCCGCCCTGAGTGTGGAAATCTGCGTCCTACATTTATCTGGGTCACGCAGGATTTGTCATGAGACTCTGAAAGGGTGGGGTGAGTGGGATGCTGGACCTCCTGAGGGGAGTACAGACTCTCTGTACATCATGCCTGAGCCCCGAAAGCCTGTGAGACCTGAATGACCAGAGATGCTTCCTTCTCATTTGCAGGGTGCAGATACCTCGTTGATACAGAAGAGGGCAGTCGATGGTAGTCAGGTGAGTCTGTCTCTCTTTCCTTCACTTCATGGTCAAGTTAAATCCCTCGGGCACAGGTGTAACTTCCATGGTAGGTTATTTGTGTTATCTGACCACTTGTAGTTCACTTATTTTCTTTGTCTCCTCTCCTTACCTCCCAGGTAACACTGGTGAAGTCAGGAGAGGTACCAAGGAAGTAAGGCTGTAGGATTATTGAAGCTAAGGCAATCAAGTTAGACAAGGGTGTGGGCCCTAGATGCAGGAGTTTCTATTAAAAAAAAAGCACTTTGGGTACAGAGAGGAGAAGGTAGGGGCTTGAAGAAAGGTCCTGCTTTTTAAGAAAGTTCAGGGAGCTGAGGTGTGGACCCCAGAACAAAATATCTTCTCTTTCTCTCTGGTAGTCTAGTGGTAAGATCCCAAAGATATATAGTTCCACTCCTCCAGCTGCTCCTCAGCCGAAGGACAGACCTTCTCCTCCCATGTGATTTACTGCCTCTGTAAACCTACTGGAGGGTCAGCTATGGGTTGACTCTGACTCCACGGCACACAGCAACAACAACAACAACAAAACAAGGGTGGCATCTATCGTCTCACACTCTCTTTTCCTTCTTTCTTCCGCAGAACTACAATTATAACCAGCAGTCATATCCTAGCTATGGTGGCAAGATCCCTGCAAAGGTAAGACCTGCAACTGCTGTGTTTTCCCACCAAGCTCTGCAGCGGGGGAGGAGAGAGGCTTAGGGGCCTCCATGTTGTTTAGTGGAAGCAGAATCCCTTTCATAAAAAAAAAAGATCTAGATGTAAGCAAAGCCTTCACCACTGCCCCAGCAATCAAGCCTTTCTTGATTCTAGGTGTAGCTTAACAGAAACTAAGATTGTTTCTATCTTAGGCATATTCAAATAAATAAATTAAAAAAAATACTCTCTCACTAAACTTACACCTTTCTGAAGGGCTCCTGTCTCCTCTGCTCCTTGCATTTCTGGCTTAAAGAGCAGTCTCTAATAAATTGTATGTCCTTTGGGGGGAAAAAAGAGTCCCATCCTCTGTAATGAAGACTTAGCTTCCGAGGGAGACTAAGAACATGTTCAAGGAGGACGGTGTCTGCATTTTGTGCCGCAGAGAACCCTGGAAGCCAGCCGTCTCCTCAGAAAGAATGAGAGGCTCTAAAACATTGCGTGACACATGGCAAAACAAATCCACAGCCCCTTTTGGACGTTGTCCCTTCTCTTTCTGAACTGCTGACTTCTGGAAGGAGGGGGCAGACTAGCATTCAGGAGATACTATCCCAGGAACTCTCTGTAAAGTGGGAAACTGAATGCTCTAGTCTATTAATAAAATAAAAGGGGGAAAAATCTTGGAGAACTTGACTTTATTTGGTTGCAAAGGAAGCAAGTCAGTAGGTGAACTCTAATTAATCGGCAATGGAAAACCGGATTTCAACCTATTTCCCTGCCCCCATCGCTCAGAAAAAGAGGATGATGCAGGAAGTTTGGCAGCCTAGTGGCAAGGAGTTGTGCTGACAATCCAGAAGGCATGTGGTTTGACTCCACCAGCAGCTCTGTGGGAGAGAAATTGGCAATCCCTTGCCATGCCATGCCACTTACAGCCTCTGAAAACTCACTAGGGGGTCAGCTGTGAGTCAGTTCCATCTGGATGGTATTATATAACAACATTTGACCACTCAGAATAAAGCCCAAGGCCCTAGGGAAAAGCTCTTTCTACTGAGAGATCTGAAACTCCAGGCTGACTGAATGTAGATGGAGATACCGTTAATACTACTGGTGGGTATCCATTCTGCTAATTGCCCAGGTGGAGGCTTCTAGCAATTAGAAAGGAGACGTATACATCCTGTTTGCATTCCTCCTGTTTAGCCTGTGCACAGGGAACCCTATCCAATGTCCTCTTAGAGAAAATGTACTTCCAGTGGCTAAGTTGTGGAAAAATGTCCATGGGCTGAATGTCCACAGCTAGCCTGAGGGATCTTTGGAATAATCCTGGTTTAAGCTTATCCTGGACCCTAGAGGACATATTTGAGGAGAGAAATCAATTCTCCGCTCTAATTTTCTGTTTACAGGGGGGAGTCACAGCTTCTTCCTCGGTGAGTATGAGGGCTGAGAAAATCTAGCTCTTGAGAGGAGGGATCTAAGGCCAGAGGTGTGGAGGTGGCAGGGTGATGTTTACTCAGACATTTTCCTGTCCCACAGGCTTCCCGGGCACAACCTGGCCTGCTGCAGTGGATGAAATTTTGGTAGGTGAGTGTCTGAGACCCCTCTCTGCTCGAATTTTTTGAGACACTAAGTCAAATCTGATCTGGGTGGAAAGACTAGGAAGGAGCAGGAGACCCCAGAGGGGGATGTGAAGAGAGATTCATAAGAAAATGGCAAGATGCTCAGGAAGTACTCTCTGAGTGAGTGCTGAGTGAAGGACTGGGCAGAGGTGGGAGTGTTCAGGCAGAGCAGCGAGGACAACAGGGAGGCATTGGGTTAAGGAACAGGGACTGAGAGGCATTGGATTAAGGAGCAGAGACATCAAAGTAAGAGATCTGTAGAGAAGCAAGCCTTTTAGGTACAAAGGTTTTGTGGAAGGAAGTAAGAAACAGAGTAACTAAAACAAATTTTCTGGTTTTTTTTTTCAAGCTGTAAGGGCAGGAGGTAGAGTTACTTGGGATAATCAGATCTATCTATCATCTATCTATCTATCTATCTATCTATCTATCTATCTATCTATCTATCATCTATCTATTTAGAAGTAAAAGGGAAGGGAACTTTAAATAATCAGGACAACAAAGAAATTGGATCACAGAGGGCAAATGAAAGGATAGTAACTTTCAACAAGCTTCAAAGTGATCACTTTCTATTATTTCATCTCCTTTGTTCTAGAAATTTCTACCAACCACTAATGAAGCCCTGAAAAGCCTCAGCCGTCAAGGATCCTGACGGTGGCCCCATTTACCCCGGTTCTCTCCCACCTCTTTCTGTGGGTTGGAGACCTGGTCTGTCAGTTTCTTGTTTCTCCCCACTCCATTGTGGTGTCTCCTTGACCATCGGTCTCATCAGATAAACCAACTACTCTCTTCGCCTCCTCTACCTTTTGATCTGAGGTCACTGTTGAGTTGTTTGGAGGAAGCTTCCTCCTTTTGAATTTCACTGTGGAAATAAAATGACTCTTGTTTCCCTAAAACTTTCTTATACTTTATTTCTTAACACTATGTTTATGGTCCAGACCAGTCAGGATGGGAGAGTGGTTCAAGGCTACATAATTTGCCTTTTTCCTGGTATGAGAAATGGTCGGCTGAGGTAAGACAAGTCTTAGGTTTTAGTCCCCACAAGAAATAGCTAGCGTCTCTACCGTGACTCTTTTTCCCTGTCTCTAAGAAGTAAGCTTTGCTCAATTATATCTGAACACACCATGTTTATTACACTTGAAGATACTTTGGCAACTGAAAAACCCACAATACAGTAATTCAAATCAGAGATGGGAATCAAGAGGTTGTTCAAAGAGAAGAGACTGGTCTGACAGGGCCAGGGAAGAGGTAGGAAATAGGGACAAGGGGTTGGTAGAGAATTGCCTTGGTCATATATACAAACAGAAATGTGCATGAAGGGGAAAAGTTGGGTTGATGTGTTTAAGAAATTGTGCCTGGGGGCAGAGCTGCTATCGGTGAACTTCTCTGTGTTTCCAAACTGCTAAGAGAAGGAGTCAGAGTAATTCTACTCCATTAATGTACCAATGAAACAGAGGCTCTTGATAATGGCTGAGCCCAGACCTGTCACAACGTGAGTAGCCCTGGGGACAAGGCGAGTCTGTAGTTAGAGATTCTGAGTCAAAGTCCTACCAAGCCGGTACAGCGTGCCCACGTAGCCAAAAAGGACCCACCACCGTGTTCCCTGCATTTAACATACCTGCAGGGATCCAGGAAGGACATGGAGGACATGAAGCATCTTGCCTACCTAAGTGACTCCAATATTGCAAGTATCCTGAATGTATAACCTCTGCTACCTTGGCCATTAATCCATCCCTAGGGGTTGGCCTCAAACAACTAATGAATAAATTAAAGAAATGTGCTCCAAAATGGACTTGGGGAAATATATGTGAATAAAACTATCTGATTGGGAGAAAGTTAAAAACTACTTCTTTGCTTTGCATCCCCACATCATTTATTGTGTCTGTCCTTAAGGTGTAGCCTCTGGGTTTGTAGACAGTTGTGTTTCAATGTTGAAGGTAGGGCCTAAATCAACAGGGAGGAGGTTGTGGGGATGTCACAGGAAGCGCAGCCAGTCTTTACTACTGCCTGACAACTAGCTTCTTGGGGCATGGGTGAAGAGTTAAGACATAGCTTGGAACTTAGACCTCTTTGAATCATTCTCCGAGGGGATGAAGGAGAAGCTGAAATACTGAACATGGTTCTGGGTTTTGGTAACTCTTGAAGCAGGGCACAAAACCTGGCACAAAACCTACTGTCATTGAGTCCATTCTGATTCACAGTGATTCAAGAGGGAGAACAGAATTGCTGAAAAGTTTTCCAAGGCTGTAAATCTTTACAGAAGTAATACTGCCACATCTTTTTCCAAAAGAGTGGATGGTGGCTTCAAATTGCCTGCGGAATATCCCGTGGATTGCCAAAAGAACAAACAGATATGTCTTGGAGAAGGTGCAGCTATAGTGCTCCTTGGAGCCAAGGATGGCGAAGCTTTATCTCACATACTTTGGGCATGTTGTTAAGAAGGGTTATTTCTTGGAGAAGAACAACAAGCTTGGAAAGGTGGAGGGACGGTGAAGGAGAGGAAGATCCTCAATCAGATTGATTGACACAGTGACTCTAGCAATGAGCTCGAGTGTGTCAGAGATTGTGAAGATGTCACAGAATAAGGCAGGCTTCAGACCATAGCATTCAATTCGTAGGGTCGCTGTGAGTCATACTTGACTCACTGGCATCTAACAACAACAAACCTTCAGATAATGACCCTACAGGATGGAGTGAAAATGCCTCACAGGGTCAGCGAAAGAGAGGAAGAGCCTAAACAAAATGGATTGACACAGCAACTTTAACAATGAACACATCAGAGATGATGAGGATGGCACAGGATAGGATCAGCTCTGTTGTTCACAGGGCTGCTATAAGTTATAGTCACCTCAACTGCACCTAACAGCAATGGGTTTCCCAACACTATAACCCTTTACAGAAGCAAATTGCCCCATCTTTCTCACATAAAGTGCCTTGTGGCTTTGAGTCAATGACCTTTTGGTTAGGAGCAACATGCCTTAACCACAATGTCACCAGAGCTCCTTCTCTGCTGTAAAGAGTCCTCTAGTAAAAGGCAGACCTACCTTTTCTCCTAGTCCTCTGGTGTCCTTGACTTTTGTCTCTATAAACCATTCCCCAATATCAGTTAGGGAGAGGAATTAGACTACATTATTTGTTGTTGTCAGTCCACCTGGCAACTTAACAGCGACAACGTGATGGGGGTAAGCATGATGGAGACGCCACTCCAGAGAGGATCAGAGAGTTAATCCAGCTCAACTTTATTAGGATAAGCACTGCACTTATCACAGGAAGACAGGATAGGGTGGGCTTACAGATGTGGGACATGTGGATTGGTCAGGATAACCTCAGCCTCGTGCAGATCACTCCTGGCTCAATAGATACGGTAGCCGTCTTCCCAGGTGGCGAGGTTTCTTGAGACGGTACAGCCAAACACAGGGTGATTACTCTACCCTGTATTAAAGGCCACTGGGAGGCTTGCACCTGTCTGGAGCTCGGGCGACCCATCCTGTCCAGAGGCCTTCCCTTCCTCCCCAACATTCCACAACAATTATTCCCTTGCTAAAATTTTCTGAGTTTTTCATTAGCCCAGAATAAAACCCCACCTCCTTCTCATAGTCTACATGGTTCTGTGTGATCTTATCTGACCTTTTCTCGGCAGGACTCGTGTAAGAACTGCTGAGAAAAGGACTCCAGGAAACACTGCAAGTTCCTGTTTCCCAGAGCCTGCGGTCTTCATTGTTTGCTCTTTAGTTTCCTCCAGGTCTAAATTCAAATGTCATTCCTAGGCCATCTTAATCAATGACACCTACACATTCCCATTACTGTTCTGTTTTCTTCATAGACATATCATTCTGTAAAATGATCTTGTTTATTTTTTTTATTAATTATCTGTCTTCTACTCTGGAGTATTGAGCTTCACGGGTCACGTACCTTGTCCATCTTGATTTTCCAGTGCCAAGGCCCAAAGTGGCCCTTCAATTAATACTTGTGAATTAAAAATGGAATGAAGGATCAGAAATAAATGGGATCCAGTAAAGAAGTCTTCCTGGGAGAAATTAAAGGGAAAGATACATTGGGACAGAGGATAAGTGGTGGCAAAAGAGGAAACCCAACCTGAGAGGTGGTGTGACAGTTCTCTTGGATATGATCATGTTGGTGGTGGTGGGGGGGAGGGACCAGACAAGGATACCCTGGATCCTGCCTCCCAGAGACATGTCCCAGAGCCTTTTTCTCTCTAAAGATTTTAGGCTTTTCACCATATTCACCAAGGCTAATAAAGGCCAAATGTCCATCCTTCAAATCCCTTAGTTCCTTCCCCTAACCCATGAGGTCAGCTCCGAACTCCTGGGTGTGCCTATAATTTAGCAATAAGGGTTGTGCCTCACTTCCTATCCACACTCAAGTTCTGGCTGATTTCGGGTGGGGTGGAGGTAGACCTGTGGGAAAGCAAGGGTTTATTGGTATTCTCAGAGATGGCACCGGGAAATCAACCAGACTTGGAAGCAAGGTGATCCAAAGTCAGACTCTGTAAGTCTACTTAACTCCATTAACCCTGTGAGACAAATCCAAACCAAAATTGAAGCCCTGGTAGTTGAATACCATTACTTAAAATTCTGGGATTTTTTTTTTTTACCAATAAGTACCTTCTTCAAGAATATCCTCTAACTGCCCAGTAGGCAGTGAGGAACACAAACACATTGTGTTTGCAGTATAAATGGAATTTTAAGAGGTTAAGAGAGACACTGGATTGTAAAATGAGCACTTATAGGAAAAATCATATAAAGCTGATCTTGCCCTTGAAAATCCATTGGAAGATAAAAACAAACTACTGCTCCAACACCACCAGTTTTTCCTCTAACATAAAAAAAAAATAAATTGCTATTTCTTTGGTTGAGCACATGAAATATTAATTAGGTGGCTTACGTTTAGAGGCACTATACAACAAGTACCTATTATAATCCTGGAAAATAGATTACAACAACATAT